CTGTTCCTGCCCTCTGACCCCGGCCTGCCCAGGGGTCCCTGGCTGTCTAGTCACAGCCTCCATGAAGCAGGTGTCTGGGGTGAAATTCCTCCCTGTCCACTGCGTCTCCCATCCGCATCATCCCAGGCGGCTCCACCCTGACTGAGGAGGAGCACCTGAAGTGACAGATGAGTTTTGGCTCCGTCGTGGGGGTGGGGGTGCTGGGCACGGTGTTTTGAGTGACCAGACAGGGTGGCCCCGTGTGCGCCCCCCAGAGGCCATTCTTCAGCCCTCTGAGTGCCTCTAGTCACCAGGCCAAAGGGAACCTGAATCTGGGAGGGGTGCCCGCGCCGAGCCCATGAAGGCTGCGCCTGCTGTCTGGATGCCTGTGGGCAGCGTCTGTGTCCTGCGCCGATTGCCCTGGAAAGAGCCGGTGCTTGGCCTTCCTGCCAAGAACAGGGAGAGGCCCCAAGGCGCTCTGGCCTGACTGGAGGGGGCAGTGCCCGAGGCCCGCAGACGGGCTCGGTGGAGCCTGTGGGCTCTGCCCTGAGGAGGGGGCAGGGTCTGCCCCAGCCCTGAGCAGACAGCATGGCTCGGGGCCTCTCACCAACAGCTCGGACAGTATGGTTCTGGGGCCTCCTTCCACGGAGCACTAGAGGCCTAGTGCCCTGGTCCCCTGTCCTCTCTGGCAGTAGCAGAGCTTGGGCGCTCATGGCCACATGCTCCGACTATGGAGGCAGGAGGCACAGCTCGGGCAGATGACCACCCCGGTATCTGGACCTCCCAGCTGCCCCCACCCCATATCCAGCTCCACGCCCCAGTGACAACCTGGAGACACCCCTGCCCCCACAACGGTCCTCTGTGACTCCGCAAGTGCCCTCCCTACCCAGAGCACCCACAACCAGGCTGTCCGTAAACTCCCAGTGTGGAGGACCCAGGCCTCAGCTCGCCCAGGCCCTTCCCTTCTGCCGGGGTGAGTCCTGCAAGGTGAGAGGTCATCCCCTGGCTTCACCCCGCCCTGCCCTGTGACAGTTTCTGCCTGGTGGGTGATCCTGCCGGTTCTCCACTCTGGCTCGCCTCTCTCCTGGCCCCTCCCTCTTCCTTTGGCCTGACCCAGGGCAGGCCAAGCACAGGCCTTTGGTGAGGAAATCCACCGCAGTCGGGGCCCCGGCCTTTCCTTCAGAGCAGGCAGTGTCCTGCCCCCTCTCTGAGAGGTAGGGCACATGGAGCCGCCTCTGGCGGCCTCTGCCCTTCCCTGAGCCTTCTGGATGCCTTCAGGCACAGCCTGGCAGTTCTCAGGAACTGAGGCCCGAGGCTCCTGGCTCCAGGGCCACCGGAGATTCAACCTGGGGTGCCAGAGGCCAGCACCCCCAGTCTCCCCGATGTCAGCCCACAGGCCTACAGAGAGAAGGGTCCAGCCACCCACAGCAATGAGGCCTGACAGGACAGCCAGGTCAGGAACAGGGTCTGTGAGCTGCTGCCCCCAACTCCACCCCCACCCCCAGAAAGGCGAGTCTCAGCCCTCTGGCCCAGGAGCAAAGTAAGGCCTTCCCTTGAGGCTCCAGGCAGACCCCACCCCAACAAGTGAAGGCCCCTGCTGGGGGAGGGCCTGGCCCAGGGAAGAAGCAGAGAAGGCCCACCCAGGACGCATGCACCCAGACTACCAGCCTGAACGCACAGCCCGTTCCCTGCAGAGCCAGCGGCTCACAGGCACTGCTGTCCTGTGGTCTGTCCTCTCCTCTTTGCCCCCCACACCCCTGCACCCCCATTCCTGCCGCCTCCCCGAGCAGCCAGGCCCTTCACCTCCTTGTCTCCTCTGCCTCAGTCCCCCTGCGTCCTCCCCTCCCCATGCCCAGCAGAGGTGGACCTGGGCACCCCCCTTCCTTCCTTAGCAAACCTCCTCTCTTAGGTACAATGATCCCACCTCCCAGCGCCCCCCCGCACCCCTCCACCCCATATTAACTGTAATTTTGTAAGAAGAGTGACTCGTTGGTTTAATAAATCTCTAGTCATTGTAATAATTTATTGGCTGCCGTAATGTATTTATTAGTCACCTACCATTAATAAAAAGTGCCAGCTTTTTCTAGCGTGAGTGTGGTGTGTTGTATCAGTGCCCAAGTTGCTTCCGCCGGGTAACCCCCCACCTGCCCCGTGTCCTGGGGCTGGACTGCGGGTCGCCCGGCAGAGGGCACAGTGCCCCACGGCAGGAGGATTCCAGGTGCCAGGGGTATGGTGAGGGGAGAGACTGCCCTGTCCATCCAGAGGGCTTGGTGCCGGCCACTGGCCACACTCTGGTGGCAAGTGGGAGAGACAGGAAGGTGACGCTGAGCTGGGGTGGGTGCCATCACCTGACTGTGACCCCTGGCTTCCTACTCTTCTCTCAGATGTAGACATCTCTTCTGAATGTGTTCTGGCGTCTGTGTTCTCTGGGCAAGCATGTATGGACAGGCTGGGCTCTCGGCTCCTTGGCAGTGGGTTCCAGTGGGTTCAGAGTGATGAGCAGTGAGGCCTGCGGGGTGAGGAGGGGGTCTCAGCGCCGGCGCCTCCCCTCCCCACCACCGTCCCTGCATCTCCCTCCATCCAGGCTCACTCCCCAGGTCTGACCGGGGACCCTCACTGCCTCCGGGCCCCTCTGCTGCTCTGTGCCGCTCGCTCGCTCGGAACCGGGACCTCTTCACGTGTGTACATTTTCTCTCCGTGACTAGACTGTAAGCTCTCCGCGAGCAGGAGCCTGTGTTGGTCATTCCTGCAGCCCCGCAGAGGGCTGCACACAGACCCCCCTGGTGTGAACGGGAAGAGAGCCCGCTCTGCAGCCCTGGAGCAAGGAGGGGCTGAGCCTTAGCTGAGTGGGACTTGAAACAGGGCAGCTGGCCTGAATCTCTCCTTCAGACCAACGCTTGGCGGCCTCCAGACCTTTCAGCCCAGCCCATGTACCATATGGTCAGAGTCCCCACTCTCAGCTCAGGTCTCCCTGGTGGCCTCTTCTGGTCCTGGGAGTGCCCTGGGCCTATGTCCCCATCATGCCCCCGCCCCACATCTGTAGATCAAGTTGAGCTAGTTGGGCAGCAAGGTGGGACCTTGCCTCTGGCCGTGGGCTTCCAGCTTGTGGTTGAGCAGCGGTAGGCCGAGGTGCTGCTGTGTGGTGGGGAGGCGTTTCCTGTTGAATCCTTGCCTCGGTGCAGCTCTGCTCTGCTTCCCTGGCAGTCCGGGGACCCTGGGTGTTCCCAGCCCTGGGAACATCCGCTTGACCTCCCAGGAAACCTCCGCCTGCCCCCTTCTGAACAGGCTCCACTGAAATGGCACTGGGCAGAAGCATCACGCGTTTTTTCCACTCGAGTGTGACTACACAGTGACCAACCGGCAGAAACTGGGGTGGGGATTGAGAATGAAATGGACTGGTTGAGGCCAGGAGGGTAGTAAGACCATAGGAGTCTGCTGGATTTGTGCAGCAAAGTGGAAGGACCATGCTATTTACTACAGGTCCCAGAGGTTGCGGTAAAACCCTTGTCTAGGGGCAGCTGAGACCCGAGACCACCCCCTCCACCAACTGGCTTTGGCTGTAAGAACAAGGGTTTGGTGCCAATACCCCTTCCAGGTCACCGGTCTGACAACCCAGCTATGCAAGAGATGACCAAAGACACGCAACCCTCTGACCATTTATTCTGGCGCCCACAGGCTACTCACACTGGCCGGAGAGACCCATTGTGTTGCAGAAGCTGTGGTCTGGCCCAGAGTTGGGGGCATGTCTTTGTCCTTCCTGGTCCCAGCCCTGTCACCTCAGTGTCCCCTAAGGATTAATGGGTTAAATGACACGAGGCAGGGAAGAGTTGGCGGAGTGGGACTCGGTGACAGGTGGTGGTCACTTCACATTCAAGCAGCCCACTCAGCTCCACTGACTGCTCGTCTATCTCCGGGGATGACGCCCACACCACTGCTTTGCTCTCTCCTGTCATTTGCTTCAGTCTTCTTATTTCAGAGGGAGCATGCAGCCATGAATTACTCCTGGGCTTGAGCTGCAGACCCACAGAGCTGGGCTTGGGGATCAGACGGGGGTCCCCCTTCCCCCGGAGAGGTAGTTCACGAGGGAGCCACCTTCCCATGCATAAATGGGTTAGTTCACCGAGAAGGGGCTGCCAAGAAACAGGTTAGAATAAGGCCGTCCTTGCCCAGGGCAGAAGGCTGTCCCCAGGGTCCTGCTTGATTGGGAGTGCACATCCTTTTCATTCATTTGCTAAATGAACTCCTGTGTGCAAAGCAGTGCTGCACGGCTTTCAGCTCTCATGACCTGAACTGTGGTTGAGCTTGACCCAGCGCGAGGGGGTGCGGCCATCCTCCAGGCATGCCTGCAGGCAGCCTGGGCTGTAGCGTCTCCCCAATCCCCGGAGGATGCTGGCAGGAGCCTGGCGTGACTTCTCCCCTCAGACCACAGGAGGGGCCTAGAGCCCCTCTCCACTCCCAGAGGACACCCCCACCCACAGGATAGGCCCAGCAGGAAAGGTGTGGACCAGAAGGCCAGAGCACAGCTCTCAGGCTCCTGTCCAGCAATCCCCCCACCACATGCACGTGCGCGCACACACACATGCCTGGAGACCACACACATGCACATACAAATACACACATGCGCACACACAAACACACCTGGAGGCCACACATACGCACACACAGACGCAGGGAGACCCTCTCGGGGCTTCAGACTCTGCAGATGGGAGGGTTGGGCTCCTTGTCCTCAGCGTCTCCCGAGGGAGCCCTGGTTGGTTCCCCGTCCTGTCTCTGCCACCGGCCCCGAGACAGGGGTATGGGTTGCTCTGAACACTGGACACAAGAAGCGCCGTGCTGCGCGGGATGTTCTGCCTGTCGGCCTTCCAAGGAGCCGTGGGGGCCCAGCAGCCCCACCTGAGCTGCCAATAGCCCCGAGCCTCCCTTTCCTGCCTAACTGTCGTCTTCTCTTTCCCTGTCTCCCTGTCTGTCCCTCTCGCTGTCTGTCTGGCTCTCTCCGCCCCCTCCCCCGCCTGGGGCTGCAGAACCGCATGCACGAGTCTCTCATGCTCTTCGACTCCATCTGTAACAACAAGTTCTTCATCGATACCTCCATCATTCTCTTCCTCAACAAGAAAGATCTCTTTGGGGAGAAGATCAAGAAGTCACCTCTGACCATCTGCTTTCCCGAGTACACAGGTGGGTGCCGCATGGACCTGCCAGGGACCCGCGTCTCCCGGGCATCTGGCAGATGGGGCGGGGATAGAAGAGGCAAGGGTGCCGCCCTGGGCATGGTGGGAAATGAACCTTTACAATGCTCGCATGTTGTGACCAGGTGACTTGGAGGGATATGGTAGGATCGGGAGGCTGGACCACCCCCCAGTTTCCCCCTCTGCTTTTGTCCTGGCCTCCCATCTCCCCAGTACCCCTCCTTAACTCCTGCCCTGGACCTCTGCTGGGCCACATGGCCCTTTTGCCTGCACTAGAGAGGGTGCACATGTGCCTGGTGAGTGGGGCCTGGGCCGCCTCAGCCCTGTGTTTCTCTGCTCCAGCCATCAGCCCAGCTCCCTGCCTCCACCAGCATCCCACCTATCCTCTCCTGCTTTCCCTCCATCCTGGGCTTTTCCCCAATCAAACCACCCTGACTCTGCAGGCCTCCTCCCACCCCGCCTGCCTGCCTCTCTTCCACGCCTTCTCGGGGGCTCTTCCTTCCCAGCTGGCTCCATGGGAGTGTGTCGCACACCCCTGTGATGAGGCTGTCTCTGGCGGTTGATGGAGGCTGGCTGTGTAGGATGGCCCAGCTCTGAGCTGCTGCTTAAAGGCTAACGCAGCACTGACGGGAGGTCAGAGCCCAGCCTTTGTCGCCCTGGGGACTGGGAAGCTTCTAGAGGCTCCTCAGGTGGCAGCAGAGGATGTCCCCGGCGGGCTCAGTCGGGAACCCTCTCTCCCTGACAGCCCCAGGGTGTAGGCTCAGCTCCCAGGGCGACATGGGTCCTCAAATCCAGCCCGATTCCAGGAGCAATGGATGCTGCCCCCCCAACCCCCGCCAACCTCCTCCATTACTGGGGAGAGTCCGCCCTCACCCTTGGGTGTGGAGGAGGGTGCACTGGCCTGTTTTGAGCACCACCTGTCTCCCCCGCGTGAACCTGCCGGCTCCCCGCCCTCCCCAGGCTGTAGGGAGGCTGAGGCAGCCTCTGGAGCCAGACCACACCCTGGGGCAGGTTAGTCGCCTATGTGTGTGCCGTCCGGGTCTCACAGTGGATAGGAACCCCCACCGCTTGGGGGAGCGCGGGGAGGAATGGGGATGGCGCCCGGGGCCAGGCCTGCCCCACGCCTGCCATCAGCACCTCAATACCATCCAGAAGATGGACACCGCGGACGGGGCACTGGCCGTGTTTGGGGTGCCCTCTGCAGGGCGGGGTGAGTCCAGGCGGGCACAGGACGGGGCCGGGGTGGATGGAGCCAGGCCGTATCCCCTCTTGGCAGCCAACTCTCCCAGCCCCAGCGAGGACCTTCAGGACCTGCTCGGGTCTTCAGAGAGTTGTGGTGACTGGATGGGGCTCGGCAGGCCCTCTCAGGCCAGTGCCACCTCTGAGGGCTCTTCCTTGTGCCCAGGGACCTGGTGCCCCTGGAGCCCAATCAGGACACGGCCCGAGGCGTGGTCAGGCTCATTGTCGGGTTGTGTAGGGCGCTGGATGCGCCCAGGTGAAGTTGGTCTGACTCTGGGAAACACTTGAGTTCTTCAGGATCTCCCGAGGGATCCAGTTTGAGTTTGGAGAACATGATGGATGACAAATGGTCAATGAGGTGGCCCCTGGGGGTGCCTAGGCCTGTGGGGATGACAGCTAGAGGGGCTGGGGTGGGCAGGTGGGTGTCGGGATGTCTCAGGGGAGCTCTGAGGGACCGTCGGGCTGTGGAAGGGCACGGACTCAGTGGACGCCGAGAAGGTAGGAACAGGGCACCCTCAGAGTCCCTCCTGGGCACTTTTCACCTCGACGGTGCCGTCTTGGCCCCCTCTGCACGGGAGGGCCCTTGGTGGGGTCCTCCCTGGGGCTGTGTCTAGTCCCTGAGCCGCCCCCAACTTAATGGCTTCGCTGGCGGCCAGCCAGCGGTGGAGCTGAGGAGGCTTTCTGCTCTGTGGGCTGTCCAGAGCTAGTCTCCGTCCCGACCCCCACCCAGAGGTGTCCCCACCCCTTAGCCTTGATCCCTCACATTTAATTATCTGGCTGCAGACACCTTGCAGCACCCAAGCCACAGACCCCCCTGTGACTCACATGCAGCCACTAGGTGCCCTGTGACTAGGGCAGCTGAGGGGGGCGGGGGAGGTGTAGCCGCCCACCCTTAGTGTCAGACTGTATCATTTCTCTGCTGGCCAGGTCCTAGAGGCACTGAAGAAAATGGGGCGACTATACTTGGATGGGCTTTTAGGCAATTCTGGGTTGGTCCATTTTTTTTTTTTTTTACGTTGATTGAAAACTACAGAATAGAGATACGGGGCTTGGGTTGCAGCTGGTGGGCAAACTGTCCTTACATCATCCACAGATATCCCCACCAGACCCCAGTCAGGATCAAAGGAGCATCCAAGGAATTGGGGGGGGGGGAGTTGGTATTATAATACCACCAGCCCCTCAAACTTCCCACCTGGGGATGGAGGGTATCCATGCCCCCTGTCCTGGCCACTCACTTTAAGCATGGGGACTGCTTAAAGACAGTCCCGGCCCTACTGGTGAAGGAAGCATTCAGGAAAGTGTGGGCATGGCGCCCTGCACGCCCAGAGCCACCACACCCGAAACACCTGCAGCAGGAGCAGCAGGACTGGTTTGGACCAGGGCTGAGCGTTGTGAAGGGCGGACCCGCAGGCCTCAGGGTGCTCTTCTAGAAGGCGGAAGGGCTAGCCTGTGGCCACTGTCCGCCCAGGGCCCCTGGGGGGACTGCTTGTGAACACAGAGGGAAAGACCTGGGAAAGCTAGGCGATCACTCAGCTGTGTGTGGTTTTTAACGTGAGCTGCGACTCTGCCTTGGAGGAGGGCCCCAGGCAGCCTCCTGGAGAAGGTCACGGCTGAGTCTCCAGCCCACCCACCCCCAAGCCCGCTCTCACCAGGGCCTCCCTCCACCCCCTGCTCTGTCTCCTTACAGGCTCCAACACCTATGAAGATGCCGCCGCCTACATCCAAGCACAATTTGAAAGCAAAAACCGTTCACCCAACAAAGAAATTTATTGTCACATGACTTGTGCCACAGACACGAATAATATCCAGGTGGTATTCGACGCCGTCACCGACATCATCATTGCCAACAACCTCCGGGGCTGCGGCTTGTACTGACCTCTTGTCCTGTATAGCAACCTATTTGGTAATGATTCCAGCACTCACAGAAAAGCTTGCACACATACACCCCCCCCCCGCCCCCACTAACAAATGCAAGTTGGTAACAAACTCCAAAAAGGCATAACAAACCTTATATATATATAGACAAATATATATTAAAGTTTTTTTAGTCTGTACTAGAAAGAGCTTCAGACAGAACTGACCACCATTCCATTGCTCATCAATTTCCTGGGACAGCACCTGAGCGTGCACTTATGCGTGTACACACACACACACACACACGCACTGCGATACAAGTCCTGATTTGGGAGTCCATCCTTTTAAGAACAGTCACATGCTTTCACACTCTTGAGACCCATTTCTGTGAGCAGGGGGAGGGCGAGGAAAGCCCTGGCCTCAGTCCAGCCTTTTCTCAGCTTCCACCCACTCAGGCTGTGTGCTCTCGGTTCTGTCCTGCATTTGTGTGAATTCCAAAACTGTTTTCTAAAAAATGGCCAGCACCCCAAATGTCTCCCTGCCCCATACTTTTCAACAAGAGAAAACTTAAGGATGCTTCTCTTTTGGGTGGCAGAGGTTGTTAACTTCAAGAATTTAGAAGAATCGTTGCTCCGATCAATCCACTGTCTCCTGAGTTTTCTTTATTCATGTTAACAAGGCAAGAGTCAGAGAAAAGGGAGACTTGGTCTGCTTCCCACCTGCAGCTGAGGGGAGGGGCCGTCACAGAGTCACCTGCAGAGCTGAAGCCGCTCGTCAGGCTCTCCCTCCAAGAGGGCTGGGGAAAGATGATGTAGAGAAGGGGCAGGAGCAGCTGAGGGGGGAACCGGTCTGTGGTCTGTAGACCTGGCTGGGGCAGGGTCCTTGGGGTAAGGCCTCCCAGGGGGGCCTGGGCAAGGCCTCCCTTGGGTTCCAGATCCCTCTGCAATGCTGCCCCATCCTGCCCCTACCCCCATGTCATTAAACACGCTGAAGGGTTTTTCGGTCGGTTGGTTGGTTGGTGTTCTAAATCAAGGAAAATGGTCCGACTGGACCCCTTGTCTCTCTCTCTACAGACTGCTTCACGGACTCTTTGCTGTTGACGTTGATCTCCTGGTAGCATGACCTTTTGGCCTTTGTAAGACACACAGCCTTTCTGTATCAAGCCCCCTGTCTAACCTACGACCCAGAGTGACTGACGGCTGTGTATTTCTCTAGAATGCTGTAGAATTCGGTTTTAGTTTGAGTCTTTACATTTAGAATTTGAAAGGAAAGGAAGAACATTTCTCATGTGCTTTGTAGCGTTTAAAAAAAAAAAAAGGATAAAGGAAAACTCACCATCTCATCCATCTTTTTTTTTTTCCTTTGTGAAATAAACATACACACCTGCAGCCTCGCCCACCCCACCCCACCTGCAGAGGTGCCACCTGTCCACACCCTGGGCGCTGGTTCCCGGGCATGTGCTCAGGCCCCGCTTTCCCAATGCAGCCACAGCACCCACAGCACCCCTCCTCCGCCCCGCCCTGAGCCATACGCTCACTCTGGGTTTGGGGTTTGTATAGATAAAGCACAGCTCTCACTGGCCAGTAGCTGCCCCCAAAGGATACAGAACATATACATAAATAGAGCCCAATAGAAAACAGTTTCCCCCTCATTCCCTTCCTAAAGAGTCCCTTTATCATTTTTTTTTTTAAGTTGTTTTAGGTTTTGGTTTTCTTTTTGTCCTGATGAGCACTATGTATTACATACAGATCAGCTTTCGTAGTCTCTGGGAACCGGGTTGTGGTTTTTCCTGCTGACATCTCCGCTTCTCCGTCTCAGATGGATGCTCCGTGTGTGTGCGCGCGCACCCTCCCTTTCCTTTGTTTCAGTGACCTGTGTTCGCTCTTTCTCATGTGGGGATGTTTGTGCTGCAGATAAAAAACAAAAATTTTTAAATACCACAAGATGGAAAAAAAAAAACAAAAAAAATTTAAAAAAAAAGATGGAATGTAATGTTTACATGAAAGCCACAGTTCTCATGATCAGTCCAATGTCATTTCTACTTTGACTAGTATCCAAACCCCAAACCTCTTCACGGTTCACTTTTAAGACAATATTTGCTGAAGAAGACCAGTCACAGCCATTTCAGATAAAGAGACAAAAAGACAAAACACAAAAAATTTAAAATGCAGAAAAAAAAAAAAAAAAACTTGGAAAAAAAAAAGGAAAAAAAAGAAAAAAAAAAGCCCACGGGTCTTTCTAAGCCTTTCTATTCCCAATCGGTGAGGTTTCTGTGATATCTTACACACTGCCAGTCTACTTCTCTGACTAATGGAAAATTCATGTGTAGCTCAATAAAGAGAATGTTTGTCTGTATTCCTGAGTCTCCCCCTCGGGCTTCATTCTGACAGGAAAGGGAAGGAGGGACTTGACTGGGCCACAGACACTGGGAGGCTGGTGCGTAGGGTTGCGCGTGCCGGATTCAGGAGCCTTCATCCCGGACCTTCCGCATGCCTGTATCAGAGCTGCCATCAAGGAGGGACCGGCTGAGCGCAGCCACCTGGCAGCAGGGTGGGTAGGCGAATGGGCCACTCTGGGCTGCAGTGCCCCCTTCCTCCTGCTCCAGCACCTCCTCATTGGAAGGGCAGGTAAGCCTGTCTCCTGCTAACACGTGATCCTGTACCCAGGGGCTCCACCACAGCATAACAGGTGGTCCCAAGGATGAGGCCGAACTGCCCCAGCCCCCTGCACCCAAAGGCTCATGTGCACTCACTCAGACGTCTTGAAAAGCCTCCCCGGTTGTACCTGGATGCCGGCAGTCCCCAGCAGGCTGAACACACACGGGATGACTGAGACCAGCACAGCCTGGCGCACGGAGTTGGCTCTCGATTCCCCTGGGTTGCCACGTTTCTGCTGCAATTAAACTGCAAGTCAATTGAGACTGGGGACCTGGAGGAAACACAGCTCAGCAAAATCCTTGTGTCATGTCCTTGGATCACTTAGTAGCCAAGCAGTCAAGTGCTCCACCCAGGAGATGGCAGGGACTGGGTGAGGTCAGTTAAGCAGACTCCTCCACACACCAGCAGCCTGGGAAGGCCTCTCCCTGGCACTGCCAGTGGCCTTTTAAATCTGGTGAGGATGGAGGGTAGGGGCTGACACTGCTGCAGAGATCATGGAGTACCAAGAGGCCAGTCCCCTTATATTACAAAGAATGGATCCAGAGCTCCTTAGCCAGGACAAGCCCGGTGAGCCAGCCAGGCTCTCCCCCAGGGCTTTTCCCACCGCTTCCCTCACCCCAACTTATCTGCAGGAGGAGGCGCGCCATCTCAGTTGATGGGAAGCCTGCACTCTCAGGACCTGACTGAGAAGCTTGACTTCAGGACACGGGTCTGGGGGTGGGGGTGTTACAGATGAAAGGCTGAAGGATGCCATGGTTTCTGCACGTGGCATCACCTGAATTTCTCAAAAAAAGAGCCACAGGGTAACACGGTTCTTGCCTAATTTGTTAGTTCTATAGGTAAGAACAACAGACATTTCTTTGCCCTGTCTTACTTAAAAAGGAATCCAGAAGCATTGTGCTTGGGAAGGGTGCAGGGAAAGACCAATTCAACTATCAGAACAAGACACGTGGGCGTGGAGCCTGTGCGTCATGGTTTCCTGACGCTCCACAAGCGACTCTAATGTGCAGTCAGGTTCAGAACCACTCCTAAGAAAAAGAAGGGGTGAGAAGACGGGAGATGAAGGCGTCCCGAGGCAGGCAGGCTGAGTTGTCTGTTGACTAGCTGGGCAGCAGGGCACACACCTGTGCGTGTGAGGCCCCACCCCACAGAGCTCTCAGCTTTACCCAGAGAGGACCACATCTGCTGGCCAAAGATCGAAGGGCACACGCTCTACCCAGCTCAAGTGGGAAGCCAGGTCCATGCGGCCACCTGCACACCCAGAATTCACATCAAAGAACTACAACATCCACAAGGATCATGGATCTCTATGGCACATAAAAGCCTCAAAGTTGGGTGGGGGACGGGGAGGAACCAAACTGGGAACCCAAGATGTCAAAAGGGTCAAAAGAAAATAAAGGGAGTTAGGGAGACCACTTCCAGAAGAGCCCAGAGAGGGCAAGGGCACCTCCACCACCGCTCACAGAACACCCAAACACCCTCAGTTTACAAACCTGAGCCAGCTGCCCGGCTTCCACAGCGGCGCATGCTGGAGAAGCTGGCACAGCCAAGGGGCTGGGGGCCACCCCATGGAATTGGGGGCTGGCCTAGCATCCTGCCCTTGCCTTTAGTCTGTCTCAGATATCCCCAAGAAGTGACAGAAGCCAAGAGACAGTAAGTGTACAGAATCCTTTCCTATGCAAGTGTAAAATCTAAGGGTGAATTTAGGACTTCTCTTTTGGGGTCATTTTAAAGGCATGTCTCCCCTGTGATCAGCGTCATATATCTCAGGACCCTCTAAAACTGACTCCAAAACATTCTCTCTTTTCACACATCTGAAACACATGGAATTGGTATCATCTTTATAGGTGCACATCATACACACATACAAAATTATAAGGCAAAACCCACCAACCAAAACAAGACACACAAAATCAAAACACAATCTAATTTCTGCACTTCTGAAGAAAACTGTCTTAGCTCCAAGCCACACACAACACACTAAGACAGTTTGCTTTTTATTATTGTTGTTGTTGTTTTACAATAAAAACAAATAGCTATGCTCTCAGCAAAACAAATTTAAAAAGAAAAAAAAATCACAGAAATTTACTAACAGCATTTCAAGATAAGGCTTTTGAAAGATTTATTGAAATAAATTATCTCAGCCTAAACACGTACTCATCGCTCTATTTTCAGTTACTTCTCAATGTCCTAAAAACTTCGTTATGTAAAATACATTTAACTTTGCCAATTTTAGGTAATACTGGATTCTTCCCAAAAGGACTACCATAAAACTATGCTTTCAAACATTAAAAAAAAAAACCTTAATCCAGTAGGACATAAAACTGAACTACGTAAGCTATGATTGCGTGTTTCAAACCCTTC